ATAAGTGAGAAAATGAGAACTTAGTTTATAGGGCAAACTTTCTTATCTGAGACAATAGAAGTCTAACTACAGAAAATAGACTGGCATGGTTTTTGGGTACAAGCCCCAAGTTCCTGAGTAGTGCCCGCCCGCCCCCCTTCCCCCCCTAAGTTCATATGATGAAGCCCTAACCCCCTGTGGCTGTATTTGGAGTAAGGAAGTAATTAAGGTAAAATGAGACTTTTAGGGTGGGACCCTGATCCCATAGGATTAGTGCCCTTATAAGAGGAAACAGCAGATCTGTTTCTTGTTCTCTCTCTCTTTTTCTGTCTCAAAAATACAACAAGAAGCAGCTATCTGAAATCCAGGATGAGCATGTTCACCACAAACGAAGCCCGACTGACACCTTGATCTTGGACGTCCAGGCTCCTGAACTGTGAACAATAAATGCCTGTTGTTGAAGCCACCCAGCATGGCATTGTGTTACGGCAGCCTGAGCAGACTAAGACACCCTTTGGCCCTGTCTGAAGAACTCGCTTCTAAACCCTTTGGTTTTGACCTGGACACCATCCCTTATCCCAGGGGTCCTCAAACTTTTTAAACAGGGGGCCAGTTCACTGTCCCTCAGACCGTTGGAGGGCCGGACTATAGTTTAAAAAAAAACTATGAACAAATTCCTATGCACACTGCACATATCTTATTTTGAAGTAAAAAAACAAAACGGGAACAAATACAATATTTGTATTTGCATGTGGCCCGCGGGCCGTAGTTTGAGGACCCCTGCCTTATCCTCTGCCCCAGATCAAGGATGGGATCTGAGAAAAGGAGTGGAAAACGGGTGTGATGGGTTAGCAGGTAGTGAATAGAAACATCACACAGGAAGTCAGCATGATTCAGGAGAAAGATCATGGACTTTGCTATAAGGCTGACTAGGTTCCAACCAAGGCTATCTCTTAGACTTACTAAGTGCCCATGAATTCTCTGAAGACCTTAGCTTTTCCTTATAAGAGGAAACAGCAGATCTCTAGAAAATGGGTGATTTTTGCTCCCCAGAAATGTGTTCTCCAGAATAAATGAAGAAATATGTATAAATTGTCCAATAAATAGTAGGTTCTCCATGAGGGCTTTTCTGTATTATTTGGGTGGAGCAACAAAGGGCCCAGACAGAATTTGCTTGGTTTTCCCGAGCTGGTGGGAGGTAAGCGTTGCTCCCTTAAATACACTCAGTTTTTCCATGTGTCTCTAATCTGCAATCAGAGGATGATGAGAAGAAAAGGCTCTTCAGGAGGAGGAGCTGGCAGGCCTACCTGGAACCGGTAAAAGGTGCCATCATCCTTCATGGTGAGAACATGGTCCGAGATGGGAAAGACATAGCCCTGGGCAGCTATAAGGCTTCCCAAGTGTATTGCTTCAACTGCGGGGACAGGGCGTAAGAGAGAGAAGTAATTAGGAAGCTGTCAGAGTGGAGGGCTACGTAGCTGAAATGTAAGCTGTGAGTGCAGAAAGGCAACAGGAAGTCAACTGTCATCACCCCTAGATAACTCCTGGCTGATTGACTGATCGTTCAATAACTTTATGATATGATTGCATGGACTGGGGGAGTATCAATGGTTGGGAAGCACTACCAAGTGTCTGGGACTCCTCTGCATCCCAGCTCTGACATTACTTTAACCTCCCCCCAAGACTTCCAATAGACAGTGCTCATGGTTAAGAGCATGAGCTCTGGTGTAGATAAACCTGTGATAGTGCACATAAAGTGTGTAGCGGTGTCTGGGGCAGGGTCAGTGCTCAGTAAATGCCGGCTGCCTGATTCATATTTTTATTCTCCTCATTTCTTATCATCCTCAGCAGTGAGCACGCAGCCTCGCCACCCACAGACACTCTGCACTCAAACTGCATTGTCCGTTGTGACAGCCCCTTCTCTTAGGGACATAAAGGCAAGCCTCACTTTTGTGGTGAGCAGTGTAGTGGGCAATGGCACAGGGAGGCCAACGTGGTAAAAAATTTAGCATCATCATCAAAAGAAATGTTGACTTTAAATACATGTAACTAAGCTGGAAGAGACTTATTCAGTCCAGTTTTTGTAAGTGGACAATCAGAAGTCCAGGCTGCATAGGAAAAACCCATAGGCCAGTTGATTCAGGTTCTTTCCTTAAAAGGATTGGCAGGTATCGTTTTCCCCTGTGGAGAAAGAACTTGACTAGAATTAAGAATTTTCATGAGTCATGAGAGTGGCCATTAATCAAGGTGGTGAAAAAGGCTACTGTCACTTCATTAATGACCTGCTTTTCAGGCACTCAGATTTCTGGCAACTATATTTAATCAAACTCTATGTAAATTGTATTGTTTTGTAGTCAATAGTATATTAGGAGCATCAGATTAAAATACAGGAATGCCTGAGTTGACATACTGACCCCAGTCAAGAATCATAGCTGAAGGATAGACATCTAGAAAGGGAACTTGAGAAAAGATCTTTAAAAAGCATAGCAATTGTCCAGCCAGCTTGGCTCAGTGGTTAAGTGTCGACCTATGAACCAGGGAGTCATTGTTTGATTCCCAGTCAGGGTACATGCCCGGGTTGTGGGCTCGATACTCAGTAGGGGGCGTGCAGAAGGCAGCTAATCATCATTGATGTTTCTATTTTTCTTTCCTTCTCCCTTCCTCTCTGAAATTAATAAAAATATATTTTTAAAAAACATAGTAATTGAAGGCCATTTAATTTGGGGCAAAGAGGTCTAATCTGTAAGAACATCAGAATACATGTATGGGTATTTATACATATAAAATACAGGCACCAGGAATACTCAGTAAAGACAGGGAGTGAAAAATAAATTCAGAAAAGTATTAACTAACAACACATGGTAATAAGCTATACTTATCTAGAATTTTCATTTGTCTAGAACTCCCCATTTTTTAATTATGCCGTGAAAATAAATTTTACTGCTTATTTACTGGTGGGAGGACAGATTTAGAAACTGTTTTATTGGCTAGAGTTTTGTTATTGTCTTTCTGGTAAGGTTTTCCTAATTGAAATGCACAATTAAAGTTGAAAAAAAAATAATTCCTTCTCTTCTTGCAGAAGAAGAAAACAGAAGGCATCTTAGCAAATAATTAAACATCTTAATTGTGAATCAGGCAATCTAATTTTAAGATCCGGGTCTGGAAGGCTGCTCAGTGACAGCGCTACAACTTATCTTTAATTGCTGTGGCTAATGAGAATTCAACTCATTTCACATGTTACTGTATTGGACTCTTTGGCATTCTCAATGGTTACTCATTTCCTCAAAGGGTGATTTAAATTTAAAGGTAGCTATTCAGTGGAGAAAATAATTCAATTTCATTTGTAAGTAAAGAGGTTCCACATCTTGGGATTCACCTATAAGCCCAGTTCTCTGGAGGGTAGGAGATCTAGTCTGGAACTTGGTTATGTGGTATGTTTACTGATACCATGAGGGATAAAGTCAGGGTGGAAGGTCAAGTACCTGGGTCTTCGATGGACAGGTTCTTCATCAGCCACTGCACAATGTCAGTACCTGCAATGATAAAGCAATTCACCTGAAGACCTGGTGGGTGGTAAGCCCTGTGGCAGAAGAAGTATATTTACCTAAGACAGTGATTCCCAAAGTGGGCGCTACCGCCCCCCGGTGGGCGCTGCAGCGATCCAGGGGGGGCGGTGATGGCCACAGGTGCATTTGGGGGCGATGAGTAACTGCTATTAAAATTTTAAAAAAATTAATTTCCAGGGGCTGAGTAATATTTTTTTCTGGAAAGGGGGCGGTAGGCCAAATAAGTTTGGGAACCACTGACCTAAGAGAATCCTCATTTGAATTAGCACACACCTAGAGAGCTGGGCGATACTGATGTTTTTCTATCCTAACACACTCTTTCTACCCATTCATTCACTTCCACAGTTATAATCCCATTATTTTCCAAGAAAAAAAAAATCCAACTCTGATGATGCCGAAGGATCTTGTGTGCACACATTTCTGGGGAGCATCTACAGGGGACATCCTGCACATACAGATTTGGATGACTTCCCCAAGATGGGCTGGTGAAATTTTACCATGCCCGGCCTGCAGACCATTTCCTACAGAGCGCAGCCTCCTCCCTTCCCTACCCTCACTGACAAGGGCTGACAATGTTCCTGAAAATGTCTCTAATTTCTTCTGGCATGGGCCCACCCTGAAAGAAAGTAGCCCTGTGTCAGTCTGTGGGAGAAACTTCTCTGTATTCACTTGTCCCCTTGGCCAGGTGACATTTCCTGATGCTCCTGCAGTTTGGTGTGGATTGAGTTCTGACAGTGGGCATGATGAATGTTGCTTTTAGACACAGGCCGTGAAAACTCCCATGTGGCCCTGCACAGCTCCATACCCCTCTGTTCCCCACCTGCTGGCTGAATGGAGAGGACTTCAAGGGCTCAGGGCGGGCAGAGCCACAATGTGGAAGGAGCCTGGGCTTCTGAACAACCCATGAAAACTGATGCCCATTTGGGGCTCTGACCTGATTGAAAGTGTGTCATGTTAAGCCCCAGAAATTGGGGGCTTACCTGTTTAGGCACCTAGTATTATCTTAACTAATTTAAAATCTTAAGAGTCAGAAGGGACTTTTAAAACTTACTTGCTCCAACTCCAGCCAATACATGAGCCCCCATCCGCAACACCCTTGACAAGAGGTGCTGTAATCTCCATTTAGAAAAATCCCAGAACCTCGGAACTCACAGATCCCTCCTAGCCAGTCTGTCCCAGTGGAATCGTCTTTGATTTCTAGGAGCAGAAACTGGACTTACTCTGTGGCTTGCTCTCTTTGGCCTTAGTTTTGCATTCTAATGCTAGAAAAACAAGCCCAGACCTTCTCACTCTGTGGGACAGGTCTTCAAACATTTGGGCAGTTCATCTGACATACTATCGGCATCTCCTTGAGTGTCATCCCCCCCTCGTGAGCCATGCCTGGGTCTCTCACCATTTTGGTCACAATTAATTCCCTTTTGTCTACCTCCATTTGGAAACGTGGCTCCCAGAACCAATGTTTCCTAGGGCAGCCCAGTTCCCATGAGGAGTTGTTTTCGGAGGATTCTGAACTTCTAATCAATTCACCCCAAATCTCACTTTAAACCAGTGCAGACCTTCGACGGTGGCTTTGTCATTTCAGGATGTATGCATGACAGAAAATAGCCCGAAAGGGGAGCATTTCCAGATATTCAAGTCCTGGCATGGGTGTAAGGCTTGGTAGGAGAGAGAGGGCCCGTGGACAGCTCTCCTGGGATAGATTCCTGCCTGAGAGACTGGAGAGCGTGCAGAGGGGTTTAACTGTTGTCCTTTACCAGAACTCAAGTTTCTAGAAATTTGGTTGCCAGTGGGGAGACCAGTTCCGGCCTGAGTGCCTAGGCATTTTGCTTCTCTTTGGCTCTCTGGAAGGTCGATGAACTCTCTCTACACGGCAAACGGCCAGGGGCCCATCCTACTCTTTCTGTATGTCCTCCCTCCCCCACCACCCCAGGACCAGTCTCCACTGCTGCAGGCCTCCCCACATCTCCACCTCAAAAGCAAGACTTCTGAGCTTTCCCCTGTTCTTGCTCCCGGCTGGCATCTATGAGCTAAACTTTGGCTCCAAAGCACCCCTACTCATTCACATTCTTCGAGAGAAAGGGAGAGGATGTCTGTGTGTGCGTGTGTGTGCGGGTCCATTTCCTCCAAATTACACAAGTTCAACATTTGTCCTAGGAAATGAAGAACAAAGCAGAAATCAAATAAGGACTGTAATCCCAAGTTGGGGGTGGGGGAGAGACGCTAACCTGTTTTTCCCTCAAAAGAAAAATAGTCCTTTTTTGCGGGTTGCCTGGAAACGGAGAGGTTTCCAGCATCAGCAACCGCTCTCCCCGGGGCAGGCGGATTATCTTTCTGCTGAGCTGGCGGAACCATTATTTATCACCTGCCAAGACTGATTACTCACCCTGGGACAATGACAGCCCTTCCTTTCCCCTGTTAATTACTGTCATCATTAATATCCATGTCACTAATTAGTATTCATTCACACTGAAACTCCTTCCTCGCTGTCATATCCGTTCCCCCTCCACCCACCCTAGCCCGCAGCACCATTGTCTGGGTTCTAC